AAAAGTACTGACGTGTTTGGAATCCGTGAAAAGTACTGTTTTTAGTTCTGAAGTACAGAAAATCCCAAAGCTGATCTGGACCTCAACTTATGTATATGATTAAGTACCCAAACCAGTGTTGGTCACGTGTAAGGAATCCATCACATAGTGAGGATTTTATACTCATGAGACTATTCTGTGAGTATCGATCCAAAAGTGAAGATTTTGAAGGGAATCTGTTTTAACGCATAGATTATAAAAAATTATGTTTTTACATTAGTTTTTTGCTGATTGTCATTGTAGCTGTGGAAAAATACAAAACTGGAAAGAAAACTATGCACTCATAAACCAAGAAAGAATCATCCTCCTACATTTGAAAGTGCCTACTTCTATCTATCTTCTTGCTTGTTTCTATTTCGTTCCACAAATTTCCTGTGAACGAATTTTACTTCAGTGGTACTCTTTTGAAACATAAAACTCTGTTGTTTACTCTGTTCACTGGTCCTACAGAAATGTATAGCCATTTCTAAAGTCAACTCATTAACCCTAAGTAGTGCTTCTCTTGTTGTTGGCTTCCTTATTCCAATAAATATTTTGTCCCGCAGAGCACGGTTTTCATGGGATTGTGCAGGATTTGTTTCATTGAAATTGCAACTCTTGAGGTGTTTGTAATCAGTTGAAAAGTGTTACGAATTCTCATCTTCCTTTTGTGTCCTTTTGAAAAAAGTGTACCTCTCTAAGCACTCATTTACACGGTGATTTACAATTTGTTCAATGAGATGCATAATAAATTCATTCTGATTCATTTTGGCCTGTGGCCGCTAGGCAGTCTTGAAACTGTCTTTCAAAATTTATACTCCACAAAGGCATTCTGCTCTTGTAGATTGAAATCCGGTGGCAATAGTTCGATGAGTGGACCAGTTGGTCCACTCATCGAATTCATACTTGGGCCACGGAAACTGCTAGGGCTGCGCTAATATGTCTCAAATATTAAACGAGCATTCGGCAAAACTTTCGGCTCGTGAACGTGAATTGTAGACTGGACCATGTTCAATAAAAATACCTGGTACCCATTTCTCAAATCAAATCAAATCAAATCAAATATGCTTTATTGTCCAAAGTATAAACTCGTTGACAAAGCTAATCATGAATAAATGAGTTTCACTATAATAACTATACATTATACATATATATTGGTTTAATATAAGTGTCATACTGAAATATGGTTACGATTTTCAGTGCACATCTAAAACAATTATAGAAAAATGAATGAATATGCATATATAAACGCACATAAATACCATAGTCAGACATTAACAGGTAAATCAAAATTATAAGTAAATAAGGACATCAAAAGACACTGTTTTCAAAATTGCAGGAGCTACTAAAAATCAACATAAACAATGATTAAACAGGGAATAATTTTATATCAAAGTTCCATCCATATCTTTATCAAAATACTCTTGAACACTATAAAACACCTGATCAATGAGAACTTGCTTTACAGACTTCNTCGATGCCACAAGAAGTTTTATTTTTGATCTGCTTTTTTGTATCTATCAGCTCCATCAGATTGGTTTCATATAAAATGAATGTTTCATCATGATAATATTAAAGGACCCCGAAAAATTCTTATGGAATTTAGGTCTCGATGGATTTTTTTGAATTTTTGATATGATGTTAACCATGTAATTCTCAACCAATATTATCATCGCGTCAACCCCAAAAAATGAAAAGTTTTGCTGCTAGGGGTTGTTAAAATAACCCCTTTCTTAGAATAGACTATTCATTTTTGAAAGTGGGAACGATTTTTTCACCTGTTTCATTGTAGATAATGGTGCATATGATTATGCTGTTTTAAAAAAAAATCGTCCCCCCACCTATTATGAAAAGCAAAAAAATTATATCTGGATTACTTTGAAAGGCATCGTTGGATGTTTGAATATGCTTGAATTAGGGAAAAAGCACTTTTTCATATGATTACCCCCCTCACCCCGAGGGGTACAAAAAAATCGGTGGATTTTT